AATAATAATAATAATAATAATAATAATAATAATAATAATAATAATAATAATAATGACAGCTGGTGTAACAAAGCACTACATGGGCAGTTCTTTGAAAAAATCCAAGGAAAAATAGATAAGGAAAAGACCTGGTTATGGCTGACCAACAGAACACTGAAGAAAGAGACAGAAGGCCTGATTCTTGCAGCCCAAGAACAAGCCATCAGAACGAATGCAATCAAAGCCAGACTAGAAAAATCTGCTGATGACCCCAAATGCAGACTCTGCAAAGAAGCGGATGAAACCATCGATCACATACTGAGCTGTTGCAAGACAATCTCTCAGACTGACTACAAACAACGTCACAACACAGTCGCTCAGATGGTCCTCTGGAACCTGTGTCACGACTACCCTCTGCCTGTAGTAAAGAACTGGCGGGATCATAAGCCTGAAAAAATGGTTGAAAATGAGCATGCAAAACTAGTGCGGGACTTCTGAATACAGACCGACAAAGTTTTGGAACACAATATCCCAGATATCACGATTGTGGAGAAGAAAAAAGTGTGGATCGTTGACATTGCCATACCTGGTGACAGCAGAATCGATGAGAAACAACTTGAAAAAAATCACCAGATATTAGGACTTGAACCTTGAACTGCAGAAACTCTGGCATAAACCAGTGCAGGTGGTTCCAGTGGTACTCAGCACACTGGGTGCTGTGCCTAAAGACCTAGGCAAGCACTTGAAAACAATTGGCGCTGACAAAATCACCTTTGGTCAGCTGCAGAAGGCCACCTTACTGGGATCTGCTCACATAATCCACCGATACATCATGCAGTCCTAAGCGCTTGGGAAGTATTTGACTAGTGATTTGTGATACGAAACCCAGCATAGTTATCTCATTTGCTGTGTACACTGTTGTTTTTGTTAATAATAATAATGATAATGATGGTGATGTGAGCTGAAGCTCAAAGTTAGTCAGAGAGGACATATCAGGCAAATCTCCACTAAAATATACTATCTCCTCCTCTCCTTGGTCCCAAATGCTAGCAGAATAGTTTTCTATGACTGTCCCGTGGCTCTTCCAATCCAACAGGAATGCTGAGTGTTGGCTTACCTGGCCAAGATGCCTTAAACTAGAAAACTATTGTTTTTAGCAGTAAACGAAGGAGCAGATTATGAGGTATGAGGAGAATGAATTGAAATGATAATTCCTGAAACATAGTCCTCATTTAGGTCTCCCAGGTTCAGTAGGAGTCCCAGGGATCCTAGGATTTAAAGGTGACCGAGGAGACCCAGGAAAGACTACAGTTGGATCTCCAGGCCTACCTGGGAAAGATGGTGATCCAGGGTTATCCGGAGCTCCAGGGTTACCAGGTGTTTCAGGTAAGTCCAAGATCATATACAACTTCTATTCTGCCCTGCTTTTGTGCATGAAAATTGGTCAGCTTTCTCTTTGCTGCAAGGAAATGTCATCTCTCTACTTGTCATGACTATATGGTTTTCTAGATCTTTGTGGATTTAAAAATCTTTTTTTTCCCCAAAATGCAGAAACAATACACACAGCAGGCGCAGTCTTTAGTGGTGAACCTGGGGTACCAGGTATCCCTGGACCAAGGGGACCCCCAGGAATCTTTGGCTTAAGAGGGTATAAAGGTGAGTAGAATTCTCATTGTCTGAACATTCCCCCAATGTTCCCAAGTACTCAATCGTTGGTTTTTTCAGAAGGAAGCAGCTATAAAATGTACCACAACATTTTACATGAATCCACTTGTGCAATATTTGTTTTTACTTCTTGGCGTGAGTAATGGCAGAATTTTCACTTTGGTTTGGAGCAAAGCTGGCTGAGGAATTCTGTGAGTTGGTGTCTACAAGTCTTAAAGTTGCCAAGGTTGGAGACCCCTGGTTTGTAGGATCCATGGCCCAAAGAAAACCTTCTGTTTAGGAAAACATGAACTTCATCTATTTATCTATGCAGCTATATAATTTTACGTACTATACTTACGTCTGTAGACTAGAAGCAAGATGCATAAATCTTCCCACTCCTAATCTAACACTTTAAATCACTCTCAGAACTTGGAGGAAGGAGCCAGGTTAATTAAGAAACCACCAATTCCTGTGATCTGAAGGAACAAATGCTAGGATACATCCTTTCAGCATCTCCCATAAACCAAAGATAGACTGATAAGACAAGATTTAATACTGAGTCAGGAATATGTTTTGGGGACATGGGTATTAACCTGCTTTTGGAAATTATTTTGCTTAGAGCGAATTGAGTACAAGTTGTCCTTAAGTTGCATTAATGTCTGGTGACCTCATGGACACATTTATTTATTTATTTATTTATTTATTTATTTATTTATTTATTTATTTATTTTATTTTGTCAAGCAATTATAATGTAACAGGTATAAGTATAAACATAGTTATTAATACATGAAATGTATACATATAAGAAAAAGAAAAAGAAAAAATAGGACAGGGACAGTAGGCACGTTGGTGCGCTTATGCACTACCCCTACAGACCTCTTAGGAAAGGGGTGAGGTCAATAATAGGCAGTCTAAGGTTAAAGTTTTTGGGGTTTGGGGAAGAAACCACAGAGTCAGGTGGAGTATTTCAGATGTTGACCACTCTGTTGCTGAAGTCGTTATTTCCTGCAATCAAGTTTGGTGCGATTAACCTTGAGTTTGTATCTATCGTGTGCTCTTGTATTGTTATGGTTGAAGCTGAAGTATTCATTGACAGGTAGGACATTGCAATATATAATTTTATGTACTATACTTAGATCAGACCGAAGGTGGCGTAGTTCTAGGTTTTCTTGGTCTAGAATTTCGAGTCTGGTAGCATAAGGTATTCTGCAACGAGTAGAGGAGTGGAGAACTCTTCTTGTGAAATATTTCTGGACTTTCTCAACTGTGTTAATATCAGATACGTAATGTGGGTTCCAGACTGATGAGTTGTATTCGAGTATTGGTCTAGCAAATGTTTTGTATGCTCTAGTTAGTAGTGTGATATTACCAGAGAAAAAGCTACGTAGGATTAGTTAACAACTCTTAATGCCTTTTTGGCTATATAGTTGCAGTGGGCTCTAGCACTTAGATCATTAGAGGTGAGTACTCCAAGGTCCTTGACAGAGTTTGGATCTGATACAAGGCCTTGACTATTCAGCTTATATTTTATTTTCTGATTCTTTTTGCCAATTTTTTTTTTGCCAGTATACATTTCTGTAGCGTTTCATTTTCCAGAGATCTTCCAGCCAAATACTAAGGAGTCCAGTCCCTTATTAGCTTTCCAGGATCTGCCAATTGCCTGGGCATTATGTATCTGTAGAAGCGTGTATCCCTTCATTTAACCCGTGAGCATGACGGGCGAATGTATTCACTCACTCCACAGAAGAAACTTGTTCTTCTCTATTCTACCACTTCCTTCTATTGCTGCACCATAGAGAGTGTCTCAACTTACTGCATCTCTGTATGGTTTGCCGATTGCACAGAGGCAGATAGGACAGCACTCCAGAGGGTTAACGTCATTGCCCAGAAGATCATTGGTTGCCCTCTCCCCTCTTTGGAAGCTCCTTTATAGCTCCTACTGCCTTAAGAAAGTTCAAAACATCCTTCAAGATCCATCTCATCCTGGGCACTCTTTTTTTTTTTAACTATTACCATCTGGCAGACGGTACAGGATAATAAAACAAGAACAAATAGGTTGAAAACAGCTTCTATCACAGGGCAGCTCTGTTGAATTCTACTGTATAGTGCAATATTAATGCAATATCAGGGGTTTTCAATTCAATATATAGAATGTGAAGGATATGTGTTTATTTTCCGTCATAATGTACACTGAAGATGGTATTTAATTTCATTGTACAAGGTGCAATGAAAATAAAGTAAACTAAATTAAACTAAAACTAAACTCCTGATTCTACATTTTTGGCTTTTGTTAACACAAAAGACACACACAGAGAGAGAAACAACTAAAATACAGATACCAGGTTTCACACTTACAGGTAGAATTTAAAAAAAAAAATCCTGATTTGAGCTCACAACTGTGGTGTGGTTTTGGCTCATGTCTGAAGTGAATAATTGTTTTCCCAGGGGAAGGTGGTGATTGTGCCTGTGATGGAGGAATCACAAGAGTTGGCTTGCCAGGGGAGTCGGGCAGCCCTGGCCAACCTGGCAGACAAGGTGATATTGGGCCAAAAGGATCCTTGGGAGATCCAGGAACTGGTATACTAGGTCCCCCTGGACCACCAGTAAGTAAATCATGGATTTCTTTTGTTTGGTAGGGAAGACTGTCAGAAGAAATTAGAAAGGTTAGATAAGCTTAATTTAAAAAAAAACACCTTTTTTGTTTGATGGGGGAAATGAAATCCATCCTTAGAAGGCTGTTTATGGTGGATGGCCATATGTAGGACATGTTCCCCTGTCTCGAAAGAGGATCGGGCAAGGGTAATATTTTGCTGGGAGTGTCAGCTTTGGAAGCCCTATTGACACCAGACCCTTCCACACCGCCACATTCTTGAGCCTGGGAAAATGGGAGGGGGGATTTCTTGGAGTGTATGTGGTTAGACATAATAGCATTCTTCTTCTAAGTCAAGGTCATGTTATTTCTGCACCTGGGTGAGGGGAAGCCTAAAGTTGGGACGGATGGTGATTGGGGCATGTGATGCGATGATAGGTGCGGGGGAGGGGTGGATTTGTAATTTTTTACTTCCTGCAAGGAAACCTGGAACTTTCAGATTCTGGATTTCCCAGATGTGTCAGTTTACTATCCAAATAAACCAGAATTTTTGAGAAGATGTCTGTCCCGGAGTTATTTGTTGGAGTGGAGGTTTTCTGGAATGCTGACAGGAGACTAATAGATTACTCTTCATCTCTAGCTATCTTGAAGAGATCACCGCTATATGTTCCTGAAATAAAGAACTGTACTGAGGGGCGAAGTTGAAAGAGGGATTGGCCTAGAATCTCTGTGTTAGCAAAGTTAGTTGAGAAGATTCCTATGCATAAGCATGAGTAGTAATAAATCAATTTACATGGACCTTTACATGTGGACCTGATCTTTCATGCTAATATATGCACAGAATTTACTGTAGGTCATAATTTTATTATCTGATTCATATTGAACACCAAAAGCAATAAAAATAAAAACACAGCATGTCCAGGGCCAATCTGGTTTAAACAATAACTCCTGAAGACTTCCCAGGTGCACCAGACTAGAAACATGACCAGATAAGCGAGTTCTACCTTATTCTAAGACTACATTAACAGAATCTTCCAAATCTGAAAGTACAAATCTCCCACCGTCTTTTTTTTCACAGCCTGAGATATTAGTGAGGCTTCTTTCTGAGGCTCTTTGTCCATTATGGAGCTGCAGGCTGTGTCCTCTCTTATCTGATCATTCCCTAGACAGCGTCTTTTATCCTCATCTCCCAAGATCATTCTACATGCCATTTCACTCCTGTAGTTAATGAGTACACCGTCTGTTTTTTGCTGAACTCTCTGTTTGTCTTCCAGGGTTTCCAAGGTCAATCTGGTCTTCCAGGCCTTAAAGGACAAAAGGGGGAACCGTCTTCAGACTCAGGCAGAGGCCCTCGAGGAGATCCAGGGAATGTTGGACTCAGGGGTCCTTCAGGGAAACCTGGCACTCCTGGTAGGGATGGCGCGCAAGGTGTCCCAGGTCCACGTGGCCTTCCGGTAGGTTTGTCCATCTTGGAGCCCTTTGCAATTAAATGTAGTCCCCTAACTGGCATCCAGAGCTGTTGAGCTTCATCACTTCGAATCCCTAGCCAGTATAGTCTTCCTGGCTATGGATTATGAGACCAGACTGCTTTCCTTTGATGATGTGAATCACTATCAGTGGTGGGATTCAGTGGTTTGCACCGGTTCGCCCAAACCGGTAGCAAGGATTTGGCGTGGGTTGTTGAAACAGTAGCAACTTCTTGCTGGCCACGCCCCCAACCCGGTTGCCTGGTCACCTCTCGCTCGCTCACCTCACCGCCCGCCTGACGTTAGCCTGCCCAGTCACTCCTGGGAGTATTTCTCCCCCCCCCATGATCAGCTGTGGCGGGATTCCCCTCACTTACTTGCTGCTTCACCCAGGAGGTTTCCCTGAGGCCCAGGAAGGCAAAATAAACGACAAACCTCCGCCCCCTCACTCTATTTTTGGACTTCTTGGGCCCCAGGGCGGCCTCAAAACGAAGCGTGGGGTTGCTGCATGCCCCCCCCCACCCCAGGCTGCGTTTTTTGCCTTCCTGAGCCCCAGGGAAGCCTTCTGGGATCAAAAACGCCCCCTAGGAGGCTTCCCTGAAGCTCAGAAGCCCCCCCCCAAAAAAAAACACAGGGGGGCACTGCAAAAAACAAAAGAAAAAAGAAATCAGCCATGCCTACCTAGTCACATGACCACACACCCCTAGCCACGCCCACAGAACCGGTAGTAAAAAAAAATGAATCCCACCACTGATCAGTATGTACAACTTGTCACGTTTTTGTAAACTCTTCTGCCTCGATTAAAGGGCTGACCTTTAGATTAGATGTGGTGCTATTTCTGGGAGAAGATAAGATGATGAACCATCCCCACCCCCAACTGTTATCTTACAAGAGCTTTTCATCCACCTATAATTGATTCCCCCCCCCCCCCCCCCGCCCACTTACCTGGCTGCTTCTTGCATACCATACCAGGAAGCAAAAGGTCCTGGGATACATCCTGTCCTCAAAGATAACTGCGGCATCAGGGATCTGCCCTATTTTGGGAGGGCTTGGGGACCGCCTTCGTTCTTTCTCCAGTTCAGGCCAAACTCCAAGCCGGAGGTTTGCAGATTCATCTTCCTGAGAGGTGGGCTTTATCAACCCTCAGGACCTTTGCTTCCAAACCAAGAGTTTTTCTCTTGATAACTGTCCTAATCATCGTCCTTGATGTGGGGATTTCTCCCTTCTCCCTAGTGTCTTTTTTTTTGTGTGTGTCTCTGTGCATTTAGGGTGATGATGGCTTTGGCTTCCCAGGGGACAAAGGTTTCCCTGGATTACCTGGCGCAAAGGGGAAGCAGGGTGAGATTGGCCTACCTGGCATTGGTTTTCCGGGGCCAAATGGACGTTTTGGACTTACGGGGGATCCAGGGATCAGTGGAATTCCAGGACAACCTGGACCTCCAGGGCCACCGGGTAAGTTATGTGGGGATGAATCTGACTTTGGATGGATCACCGCCGTCAGGATAGTGGATCATTCAGGTTGTTAGATACGGATTTGGAGAGCCAAGTTCAGGTCCCCACTAGAACCTGAGAGTTAACAGGTGCCTCTGGGCGCCTCAATCTCAGCCCAGTCTATTTCACAGGACTACTGTGGGGATAAAGTTAGGGAAGACATCCCGTCCCCAAGTAAGCCACTCAAGTTGCCTGAGAAGATTGCATTTAGATCTTCTTCTCATAGAGCTTGAGGTGGTTTTGCAGATGTAATGGTGGATCTAAGCTTTCCTAAAACAAAATAATTGGATTGTGATGATGATGATGATGATGATGATGATGATGATGATGATGATAATGATGATGATGATGACGACAACAACATAATCTTTTCCCTGTGGGATTGAGTCTTCACATTGTGCTTGGGATCCACCTTGACTTGACCCAGAAGGCAAAGACCAACCCCATGCTGATTCTTTGTTTTTCACCCAAGGTTTCCCCTCAATAACTGTATCAAAGGCAGCATGGCTATTCTTCTACTGCGGGTTTAAGTTCATTTAATTTGTACATCTATATATGAATTGGGTCCTTCATCAAGGGAGGGGCTTCATCTTGCAGGCTTTAGTGATAAGCCTGCTAAAGGCCCAGGGGAGCCCAGGTTTTTATGTCGCCCCGCCCCATTGTCCACCTTGTCTCTCAATGTGATGCAGGCTTGTCTTCTAATGGCTTTAGAACTTCTAGCTCTTACGACGACTGTCTGGGTGGATTAACCCTGTGTATCGTCCCTGTGAACCTCGGCAGCTTGGGATGCAAACCAACCTTCTCTTGGGTTATCCTTTCTTTCTCTGCTCGTCCTTTCCCATCGGCTTCGTTTTTAACTTGTGCTCCTTTGCTTAACCGGTATAGGTGATTGCTGCTGCGGTGAGGAGGTTGGTAATGGAGACTTAGACGCTCAGGGAGGTGAGAGCGAGGTCCTGGGAGCTCAAAAGGGACGGGGGCACCTTCTTCCTTCCTGTTACGACACAAGGCGCTCTCCCCCCTCCCCCCGAACACACGCACATATGCACACCCGGGAGCATTTTGTTCCACAAAGTGGAGATCCTACTTGATGGACAAAGTCATCTGTGTCAAGGGGCACCATCCATCCCTGGGGGGGCTTGCTTACCAGTGCTTTTCTCCTCCCCCTGCCCCATTTCAAAGTCGCGCACTGCCGTGCTTGGCATCTGCTTCCCTTCTGGCTGTGTGTTCTTGTACCTTGCTTATTGCATGAAGCTGGTCGATGGCTTTGGAAGACGTGAGTACTTGGCCCCTGGACACTTGATACTGTGGCTGCCAAAGGACCCAGCGCCACTGCCCTATTCCATAGATTAAGATGTTTATCACTCAGCAAAGGATTGGATTGACGTTCACCTGTGCATTCACTGGGCTGGTGCTCATTTGGGCGGGATGTTCTGGTAGTTGCTGTTTCACGGGAGCTTAATAAGGCAAGGAGGGGAGGTTAATTTGGGGGAAGGAGGGAGGGAGGGAGGGGGGGGAAGGGAGGGAAAACCTTAAAAGCCCCTCTGCTGTTTTCCTTTTGATTTTATATCAGTAAATAAAGTGTTTGGCAAATCCTAAATCAGGATGGAGGAATCAGGAGCCACAAGGGGACTACAAAACCCTTTCCTTTTGTCATGCTTTATGTGAAAATTTGCACAGTTCCACTCTGCTTCTTTTAGGACTATGAAAATGAGATCATCCGCAGAAATTGAAACCATTTAGAACATTCTTGGGCCTTGGTGGTCAGGGACAAGCAACCGGAACCACTCGGGAATAGTCCAAAGCAGACACTTTATTGTTAACCCCCTAAGTTACAAGAATCTCCCCAGATGGATTGCATTTCCTTAAGAATGGCCTTCTGGGGGAAGTTAAGTTGCTGCCTTCTGCCATGGAAAGAAGACTCTAAGCTCGGCTCCTTCTTAATGCTTCCCTCCAGCCCTACTGCAGGTTCCACCACAAGATACAGGGACATCCCTCAGTCATTCGCTCCATTGCATTAGGTGCTCCTTGCCTCAGTCTTTCCTGGCCTGACTTTATGGTAGCTAATGGTACGGTTTTGCTACGGCTAGTTTAATCTCTCCCTGTCAGCCTAGCTCAGGGGTGTCAAATTCAAGGACCCGTGGGCTAGATCTGGCCTGTGGAAAGTTTACATCTGCTCCACAGGGCAGCCCTGGAAACAGCAAAGGAGCGGCCTGTGGTGCCTCTACCGGCGAAAACGGAGCTTGGAAGGGCCGTGTGTGACTCTCCCAGGCTCCGTTTTCAGCTGCAATGGTCTGCTGCAGCCCTCTCGGGAGAACCACCCAGTTTGCCCTCCTGCAAACACCATGAGCAACCTGGCCAAGAAGAGTGAGAAGGGCAGCAGCAGCCTTGAGGATGAGGAAGCCCAGCCAAGCTCCCCCTTGGGGAAGCGGGGCTGGGCTGAGGGATCCCGGTGCCATGGGAGCTTGAAGGCCAGGCTGGGCGCTTGCACCCTGCAGCCTAGGGCTCTGGACAGCCTGCGCTGACATCCAGGGGTCCTCCGAGTGGCCTGAGAAGGATGGTGAGGCTCCTCTGGAGCACAAGGGTTTGGCCCTCTCCCTGGTCTCACCTTCCTTCTCTGGAGACAGTGGATCCCACCAGCCCCACCCAGGACACCACAGGTTCCCCCAACACGAGTGATATTGAACTGGCCACGCCCACCCTTGCCACACACATTCAGCCCCCCACAAGATCAAACACAACCCTGATGCAGCCCTCAATGGAATCAAGTTTGACACTCCCAGTCTAGCTGCTTACTCACAAATGCCCTCATAGCTACTATGAAAGTTCAACATGAGCCAACCAGAAGCTGTCACTACTCTGGTGCTAAAATAGTCCGGCTGGGTTTTATTTCATGCAGTGGCCAACTAGATGCCTCTGGAATGCTCACAAGCTGGAGGTCAGGATGAACACTGTTCTACCGCAAGTGGTATTTGAAGGCGTGCCAGTCCCCTACTTGGGAGTAAGCTGGAGTCTTCAGACACCTCGTTGTCCTCTACCATTAATCAATCCCTCTTGGAAGTCAATTTTTTGGGTACTGTGTCCAAAGGGACTACCAGAATCTGCCTCCAATTATGATTGCAGCATCATGACAATCCTACAATGGAAGGTTGGACTCTCCAGCAATCTGACCATCACATTTTGGAACTGTTGTAACTTTCAGGTCATCTCCAAAAGCTGCATTATATAGAATACATTGCAATCACCAGTTGTGATCAGCTGTCCATCATGCTTTTTTTAAAAAAAGCAAGATAAACATTATGCTAGCTGCAAAATTGCCTTAAATCCAGGTGTGAAAATCTTAGGGCACTATAATAGGTTTGCCACTATGGGGACAAAGGGGAGGGGAAAAAATGGGAATTGGAGGTTGAAGGCATTCTGCCTACAGAAAAGCAGACTACACTGCAGATAATTACAAAGAAAATTAGCTCTGTTTCTTGTCAGTGGCCCAGAATCACCGGGGTGCAACAGTCACCACCTGACCAACATCACACATGCAATTGTCCCTAAGCCACAGAACAGGATTTGAGCACTTTATTTTCTGGTAGATCTTGAGATGTGGGCATTGTCCCTGTTTCTAGGGGACATGGAAAAAGTCCTTACAAGTTTTGTTCAACCCAAAAAAGAAGAACAAAGTTTTAATACATTTTCTGCCTTTAGGAGAAACTTTGCCCTGCATAATCCCTGGAATCATTGGTCCACCTGGACTTCCTGGACCTTTAGGGTTTCCAGGTAGGTAGCTTTGGGCTTTAAGCCCAGTTTCTTCTAGCAGTCAGAAGACATGATGAAAACTCTTTTGATTTCACGACATGAGGACAGACTTAACCATAGTTTCAATTGGGAAAACGTGGCCACCCTAGACCAAGTTGCCAAGTCCTGCTAGGCCTGCATTCTAGAAGCCTGGCATCAGGCGGGCTGCTACGGGTTCACCCAGGTTTGAGATGTAGCTAATGTTATGGCTGGTTCAAGAGAACCGCCAGATTCTACCTCCGGCCCACCATGTCCTGCCCCGCCCACCGCGCCCCGCCTTGGAGTCTCCATGCAGCTCATTTTGGATGCGAGGTAAGTGCAGAGCTTGTGTAGAGGCTCAGGGAAGGCAAAAATTGGGCCTTCCGGAAGGCGGGAAACAGGCCCATTGCTGGCCTCTGGAGGACCTCTGGAGCCCAGGGGAGGCCATTTTCGCCCTCCCACAGGCTCGAGGAAAGCCTCCGGAGCCTGGGGAACGTGAAAACATTAACCCCACGCCCCACCATGATGCAGGAGGCCGACTAGGCCACGCCCATCCAGCAACCGGGTAGAGAACCCATTGCTGAAATTTTTGAAGTCCACCCCTGCTTGGCATTCTGTCTAATTAGCTATCCATAGACATATAGACATTAACAAGACTATGCAAAAGAGATAATCAACAAAAAGACTCCAGCATCTCTCCACCAGCCACCAGCACCCAGATCAGCATAGATTAACTCCAAGGTTAACCTCAGACCTACCATCAAATAAACAGTATCCCAAACAAGAAACATCCAGAAAAGCCAACAGCAAACAGCCCGACCAAAGGAACCTCATCTAAGACCAACTCCCATTAATACTGACAGGGCAAACCACTAGACCAGTGGTTCCCAAGCTTTTTTTCGCCCCGCACCCCTAAAGAAATTTCACTCGAACCTCGCACCCCCTGAAATTTAGACTTTAGGAACTACTGAACGCGTTAAATATATGGTTGGATTGAATCTTTTCAGCTATGTATGGGACGGCCACTAAATAACGATACTTAACTCTAAAATGAAAACAAAGTTAATCCATTGCAAAAGAAAATAAAAATGCCAACGTATAGCCAATATCCTATTATTTACCTGGACTTTTCTCGTACTCCCTGGAATATCGTCTCGCACCCCCAGGTTGGGAACCCCTGCACTAGAATATAAATTGACTTTGGAGTGCTTCAATGCAAAATGTGTTTACGGGAGTTGGAGCATTGTTACGTTTTTTCTAGGAAGCTACGAAGGACACGTGTTTGTTTCTTCCCAAACTGATTCCCTCCTCTTCTCTTCAGGTTCCAAGGGTAGCAAAGGATTTCCTGGTTTCCCAGGGCAGCCAGGTTTAAATGGCTTAAAAGGAGAACCGGGCATACCCGGGTTGGCTCGATTCCCAGGAATGCCAGGTAAGAAGCAGAGAGGAGGCAAATGTCAGAGGTCATTGGTCACACACTTCGTAATATTGCCAAAACTTTTAGATGGATAGACCCATGAAATCACCAGAAATCAAGTGAAATACCCGAACCTTTAAAAAGTTAACTACAGAGAGTGTTCTACTTACAATACTTCAAGTAGTGGCACTGAAAAAAGTGACTTATGACTGTTTTTCACACTTGCAACCGTTGCAGCATCTCCGTAGTCACAGGATCAAATTTCAGATGCTTGGCAACTGACTCACATTTATGACCGTTGCTGTGTCCTGAGGTCATGTGATCACCTTCTGATTAGCAAAGTCAAAGTCAATGCCAGATTCATTTAAGAAGCGTGCTACTAATTTAACAACTGCAGTGGTTCACTTAACAATTGTGGCAAGAAAGGTCATAAAATGGGGCAAAATTCACTTAGCAAGTGTCTTGCTTGGCAACAAAAATTTGGGGCACAATTGTGGCTGTACCAAAACGGATGAGCAAGTTCCGTATGTTCTCCCTTAATGGATATCCCTACTCAACGAGTAGTCCTTAATGGGTCTAAGTCTACATGGAGGGAAGTAAGCAGTGAGGTGTCACAAGATTCCGTCTTAGGCCCAGGACTCTTCAATATCTTCATTAATGACTTAGATGAGGGAATAGAAGGGGAACTTACCAAATATGCAGATGATATTAAGCTGGCAGGAATAGCTAACACTCAAGAAGATAGGTTCAGGATCCAGATGGATCTTGACAGACTAGAACACTGGGCCATATCTAACAAAATGAAATTTAATGTAGAGAAAAGTAAAGTCCTACACTTGGGCAAGAAAAACCAAAAGTACACATATAGACTGGGTGAAACCAGGCTCAATAGCAGTAACTGTGAGAGGGATCTTGGAGTCTTAGTGGACAACCAGCTAAATAGGAACCAGCAATGTGCAGCAGCCACCAAAAAAGCTAATGCAATCCTAATTTGTATTAACAGACGGATACAATCAAGATCAAGGGAAGTACTAATACCACTCTATAAAGCCTTAGTAAACCAGGGTCAAGGGTAACAATGAATGATGTGTCTCAGAGTTGGCTACACCCAGGCAGTGCCAGCATGTTAACTCCCAATAAATCCTTTTGAAGTTTTGGAAGTTTGACTTGAGACTCATGATTTAAATGGGGTGTAACTGCCAGAATCCTGACACCTTGACCTTAATATTCCTGGGTCTGCTTCTTCTCTGGACAACTTCACAAAGCTAACAGAGGTGGTTAATTCTGTCAGCTTATTGTCCGCTAGATTGGTTTTGCAGAGCTTCTAAGGACTTCTTTAATGCCTTGGCAAACCATGGTGTTTCCACATGCCTGTGGACATTTATTTTGTGGTACAGACGTAATGATGGTTTGCTAGCATAACTGCAACATCATGCACCACCCATCAAGTGAACATGGAATGACGTTTGCTCTCCTTATGAACATCATCTCAGTTTTATTGCAGTCCAGGTTTTGCTGGAAATCATAACCACCCTGGATCCACTTGGATCCGGCTTATAATTTTATGAACGGATGATGAGACACATCACCTGTTGCTACAGATGTTGTCAGGTGCAAAGAATCAGGATTATATATTACATTCCAGTTAAGCTGATTTGTTGCTCAGGCTTATACATAAGAATCTAGTCAACTAATGGTCATTTTAAGCATTAAAGCATTAAACTGGTATTAGGTAAGAGTTAATGAGATTCAAGAGAGGCTGGACTTAGACCATTTGTAGCTAGGTAGAGATTCTAGACTGTTCCTTTCTTGTCTCCACCTCCACACTCTGCCTGCTCCTCCTCCTACACCTTCTCCCCGTAAAGCAGCTCTTCTCTGTTGCTTTAAAATTAATCCTGCTTTCTTTTCTTGAAAGGGTTTCCTGGCCCTCCTGGAGATCCGGGTTCAAAAGGGCGACAAGGAGTTGATGGGGTGGATGGACTGCCTGGTCCAGAAGGCTGTCCTGGTTTGGTTGGCCCAAATGGAGCCCCTGGTGATGTCTTTGGGGCTGAACCAGGGTCCCAAGGAGAACCTGGCTTACCTGGCTTACCAGGAGATAAAGGCTTTCCTGGAGATTTCGGCTTTCCTGGAACACCAGGTAAGTTCTGAGCATTTTTTTTTTAAAAAAAAACACCAACTGAAAAGTTACTGAAATTCAACAGGTATGCTCATGGTTCCTTTTTGTATGGGGAAATCTCCCATGTATGGGGGTTTGAATTCAAAGTGCGTTCAAAGACTTTTTGAGTTCAAAGAGGGAAGATAGAGAGATTTAAATGGGCTAAACGGTTAAAGAAATCTACTGAAGAGAATATTGAGATCTAGCCTTTTGATTTCTCTAAGCAGCCATTGATGGCTTGTCTTTCTGGAACAATCCATAGTGGTCTCATTTCTTATTATAGAAAAGTCAACCTAGTTTACAGGTCACAGTGACTGGCTTCACATATCCCCCCAAAAATAAAAAAATCACAAGTCGAAAATCATTTCTTGCTGGTAAAATGTTGGGATAGAAGTTGCCATTTTTTGCAGTTCCTGCAATATATCCTTTCCCCTAAAAATGAATATTTAAGGAAATATGAGCAAACAAACAAAATCAGCCAGCTATTGCCATAGCTATGCTAACTTGTCTGACTTATACTTTCCAGAAAAAAAAAGCAAGCACTGTCTCACTTCATTTCAAAGGCAATGTAAACAATTCATCATGTATTTATTTAATTACCTACATTTATAGCCAAAAGGTTACAGATATCTTCTGGGGACAAGCTAATTCAATGGAAATGAGAGCTGCCATCTGTTTACAACAGAAAACCAGTTCCTCACCTTTATAGTTAATGAGATAAGATTATAATGAAATCGCATTCTGTCTTTCAATTAATGTCCTCTTAACCTTGGGATGGAGCCTTCTAATCAGGAGTTGTGTTCAGATCAAATCATTGTCATGAATTACTTCTGGTTTGAAATCATTACATATTGCAAGATCCAATCTGGGTCGTCGCTGGGACTGATGATTTAGTCTTCTGAGCTTTCTGATGAGTGTTGGAGCTCATCTACAGGCAATTTCACTCTACTGGAATATTTGTTTTGGGCTATGAGTCATATTTATGTGATGTACACACACACACACACACACACACACACACACACACCTGTAGCTACATA